TTAGCCATGAAATACTTCTCTTTCAGGGGTTTTATTCACAAACATCCCTGTTGCTTTTTCAGTGGTTATAGGAGATATTGTTCCTGGACAGCTGTTATTTACATGGCAAGACAAAACCAAACCATTTGTGCTCAGGGATGTTCTGCAATGATGCAGCTGCCACAGTCAAACTCTGGCTGCACTGGAAGAGACTGTACTGCATCATGGGCTGTGGGCAGAGGACAGTGGAGCATGAATCCCTCTGAGACATCTTGGCATTGTATCATAAATGAGCTATACTGGACTTGGGCTTGAACACTTGGGTTTAAATTTATTCACTCAAATGCAATACCTTCTTTTCTCTTTCAGCAGGCTGCCCAGTTTCTCCCACAGCAGTGCACCGGTGTGCCAATGAACGCAGCCTTGCAATAAGGTGTCATACTGTGAACACTGGTGGAAGGGGTGAGGGATGTACCCTACTCTGCTACAGGTGTGCTTGCTAACCCATAATAAAGGAGTGAGGCCAGTGGGCAGCAATGCCTGAAACCTGGACAGACAGCCTTCTGGGCAGGGCACCTGGCTGAGTGTAAGGGGCAGACAGCTGGGCAGGAATGGAAAGCTGTCACTCCTGTTGGCTGAGGCGGAGTTTCCCCAGAGTTTTTGTCCATTCAGTGATCTTGTGTCTGCTCTCTCACTGGCAGCCAGAAAGATCAAGCCTTGGATATAGATACACACAAAGGCTCTCCTGCAATTATGCCTATTCCCTGAGCAAAGGTTCAGAGGTTTGCCTACCACAGTCAGAAACTATTAGAGAGACACAGATGCTCTCCAAGTTTTTTGCTAACAGAAGGTAGTTTGTGCTTTTATGTTGCCTTCTGAAAGAAGCTTGATTTAACACCTAAGGAGTTACAAGAGTGTCATACTGATGTCTTTCTGTTCCTTGGAGCTGTGACACCTTGAAAATAGTCTCCTTCTCATAGTCAAATTGGCAGCTTTCATGCAAAGCTCTACATGCCATTTAATAAAAGTCTGAATGACTTCATTAGGCCAAGAGGTTTTTCTGTGGCAATGATACCAGGGAAATTGCAGGCTCTTCTTTGCATTTATAACACAGTATAGTTGTGATGAAGGAAAGGATGTGCTGTAGACCACCCAGCATGCTATAGGACTCTGGGCTTACAGGCAGGCCATACCAGCAAAACCAGTATCATTTTATTCACAGTCCTTCTGATCTGCTGCCCTGGGTACAATATAGCTGACTTTGTCATCCAGCTATTGCAGAGTTACATCTGCTCCTACATCTCCTGTGACACACAGGAGATGTATTGCAGAGAGGGCACTTAGGGGAGCAGCCCACAAGTGAGGAACAGAGGAAGCAAGAGGTCAGTAGCTTCTACTACTACTAGAAGTTTCTGACACAGCCATAGCAGGACAGAGTGATTAGTTTGCCCCAAGTAAACTGGGACATGACTTGTAACAGGACAATGCTAACTTAGAATACATGGCTGGGTTTATCAGTAAAGAGATTAAAAGAAAATAAACCTTTGGAAGCATCTTGTCCAACCCATTCTGAATTTGTGTGTGTATGTGAGGATTGTTGGTTTCCCCTGGAGAGCCCTTTCTCTGCAGATTGGTGTATCTGAAAAAGGAAAAACCTCCAACCCCAAACACAGTTAGCTTTCATATTCGAGAGCTAAAATCTGCCTGCAGTCATATCTGTGAGGCATTTTTATATTACTGAGGTCTCCCTGGCACAGTGTATCAGAGTGTAAAATGTGCAGTCAGTGACAATGCACAGCTTAGATCAATGATACTTCTCGTGCTGTTTGCAGGTGACCCTGTTGCCACACCTCATCATCCTTGTGTACCTGCAGGCATACCTGGCAGTGCTAATCAAACCCGGGATTGCTGGAGAGTAGAGAGGCTGCATAGAGGCAGGGTTGGGCATCCAGTTAAACAGCTGTGAGGGCAAGACTTGCAGGCAGTGTTTAATTAGGTGACCACGTCTCTCAGGTCTCACATGCTCAACACAGGGTTTCTCCTTTGGTCTCCTACTGAGGTGCTCAAACCTTGTGGATGCTACCGCACCTTGTTCACATTAGGAGATGAGGTGTCGCCCTCATAGAATCACAGAATCATAGAATCATAGAATCATTTGGGTTGGAAGGGACCTCCGAGATCATCAAGTTCAACCCTTGATCCACTACCGCTGTGGTTGCTAGACCATGGAACTAAGTGCCGCATCCAGTCTTATCTTAAAAACCTTCAGGGACGGAGAATCCACCACCTCCCTGGGCAGCCCATTCCAATGCCTGATTACCGTCTCATGTGTACTGTCAGGACAGCCTGGTGCTGCCAGCCCTCTCCCATGCCTACCTGGGGGCCCCCTGGCACCAGACAGGGATGCTCCATCTGTCCAGCAGCACAGCAGAACACAGCACAACACAACATCTGTGCCATGACCAAACCACTCCCTGTTGAAGGAGTCCTGGATGCTGACTCATGAGTTAGGGAAGGTTTTTTTCAATGGTATGTAAAAAGGGACAGAGCTCTATTTCCAGAGGAAGGAAATAATAGAAAGAGAGCAATAATTCAGTGGTTTGACCTTGTGCGGACTGCGAGCAGCTCCAACTCCCAGTGTTCATAACTGAAAGATGAAAAACTTTTCTTTCACAGGTCACAGAGTAATGCAAAGAAAAGAGCTACCCAGCCAGCCTTAAGCAGGTGGGAAGATGTTCATACCTTGGCTGCCACTCCCCTGCTCTCACATCCAGCAGGCAGCCCCATCTGGAATCCAGTCAGAGGGAAAGCATTGGGTGTGTTTGTCTGGCAAAGAGAACAAGCTCCAACTGTCACTGCAGGTATTGTTCACCAGCAGTAATCACACCCTTTCACTTCCTCCTCTCACCACAAGGTCATCTCCAGGACATGTTTATAACTGAATTTAGTATGCTCATTTGTACTTTTACCCTTTTCATTTGGAATTTACCTGAAATGCTTTCACATACTGCTTTCACAACACAGATATACAAAAGCTAAAACAGAAGATAGGAAGAAGCAAATTTGTCTGAAAGGTCTGAAATCGCCTTTGTGAAAGTGAACAACTAGATCAACAGGGTTGCCCACAGCAGTAAAAGATGTTAGATGGTTGCATTTGATGGAAAAGTGTTTTCATGCAGCTGTTCAACAGATTGAGTCCAATGTCAATAAAATCAGTCATTCAGCAAATAATTTCTATCACTATGTTTGGATGATGTGCATACACATATAAATGTGTGTGTGTTGACTGTGTGTATGCCTCACCACACCATTACTTAGTTTTCTTACTGTCTTAGACTGCCTATTAAGTCTTTACTTCATTTTCTAATTAATCACTATCTGTAAATGTCATGAACACGTTATTCATCTTGTCCAGGTCACTCATGCAGATGTTAAACAGGACCCATACCGAAGAGGGTTTCTCCCTGTAAACCTTTGTCATATTTCTGATGACCCAAGAACTATGAATTTACCAAGCAAATGGGTGAACTTGCCCTATGGCCATTACCTTTGTGGGTGAGAGATGACAAAGCAAATTTTTCTCTAAAAGTACCTTTCCCATATCTCTTCTCTCAGAATCCTGGACCATTGAACCTTCCAGAGTTTGACAGAGCCTAGTGTCAGAAACTTTTGAGGCAACATTGATCCTTTACATTTCTCTGAAATAGAGAGGACTACACCTCTGTGCTTTTCTGGGTGGGGGTATAAAGTTTGCTGCAGCTACTCATAAAATTTGATTCCTTTAAAAATCTTCTGTTGTGTGCTGACAGCTACCTCCCCAAACAAGGCCATTCTTTTATATGGTCAATGCTTAAAGCCACATCTAATAGCTGCTGGGGCAGACCTTTTAAAAAGGTGGTCTGAATGCTGATTTGTGAGACTCACACGCTTATCCTGTGGTACCTTCAAATTCTATCTCAGCTGTATCGCTCAAAAAAACATCCAGAATTTGTATGATAAGCTAGATACTAGTTGAAAGCTTTTCTATCTGTTCTATCTGTTTCTTTTTAGATTTTTTGTTTGCTTTTTTTGCTAGACAGATTGTCCAGAGATTGTCTCTAAATTCTCTATTAAAATACACTGATGTCTCTTCTGAATTGATGTACTCCAATCAGTACCTAGCACCATTTGGAAAGAGTTCAAACTGTATATATTTAATCTGACAATGTTTTGTCTGTTTTTCCACCTTTTTTTCCATTTCCCCTGGAATACACCCAAAATAGCTCTGTGTCATCAGCAAATCTTGGAAATGGAACTCAGACAATGGAGAACTGTTTATGGACATTGGTGTATTCCAGCTACTCTTTTTTTTTTAAGAATTCATGTAATAGTTAATTGAGCACAATCCATCTTCATTTTTAAGCCAGTGTTTAGGTGTTAGTGACAAACTGTGAAGGCCCCATACAGTTCTGTAATCTTCTGTATCAACAAACCCTGGTCCCACCTGAAAGACTAGAATATTTTGAGAGTGGAGGCCATCTTCTGTGCTGATGAACAGGCTGCTGGGACTACCTTGTTCCTGGGGCCTGGTCTTCCTGTTGCACAAAACCCTTGAACATTTCAAAAACAGTTTAAGAAATATTTCTGTTATTTTTCTAATTGTCTCAGTTTAAAGAGACTGGAATGTTTGCTAAGGAGGATGAGTTATGAGATAGACCAAACTCCCCTCTCTCAGCAATTGTAAATCCAAAATTAAGAGGCTCCAATCGAGGAAGTATGGAAAAAAAGGAAGAAATAACAACCCTTTATTAAAATACATATGTATGTTGGCAAAGACAGTAACAGAACACAAAGAACAACTAGACAATAGTCTTGTACCCAAAAGTCCCCTTCAAAAAAAAAAAAAGAAACAGTCTGAATACTTCTCTGTCCTCTAGCACAGTTCTAATCACGGTCGGCAGGGGGCGCTGTTGGATCGCTGGAGGTGCAGAGCCTGCAGTGCTCTGTGTTGGCCTGCAGGGGGCGCTGTTGGGCTCTGGAGGTCACTGTATGGGGCCTCGGATCACGGGAGAAGCCAGAGTGGGGCTTTCTCCCATCAAGAGGGGGAAGGGAAGAAAGGGAAAGAAGGGCAGCCCACTTCTCATGGAACTCACCGCTGTCCTCGGCTGGCGGTGCTCAAGGCTCGTCTTTTTCTCCCAAGGAGCACAAACTCTCCAATGGAATTGCAGCAGGTTCAGGCTGGAGGTAGGAGCAGCCTGCAGGCAAGCCGAGGCGAGTGGTCAGAAACGACCAGGTTGAGAGGAAGAAAAAACGGCCTCAAAGCTTTTCCAAATGCGCACAGCCTCCCTGTCTCCATTCAAGTAGAGAAACCAAACTGTTCTCCCGTTTGTGAGGAGGGCAGCAGCAAAAACTCCTCCTCCTTCCCTCTAGTCTTAGGTGGACCATTAGCCGGGAATGCAGTTTTTGCCAACCAGCTCTTTTGTACAGTCAATTGCCCCTTCCCCCAATCCCACAGTGGGGCAGGGGAAAGGAAAAAAATTCCCGCTTGAGTTTTTTGAACAAGCCAACCTACAACACTAATTTTTCTAATCTGTAAACCAGTGGCCTGGGACTTTGGCTAGATTTCAAATATCAAAGAGCTGACTGAAATACTCTGGACTGACCCCATAAGGAACACTCTGTAATCCTTTTGTTGTGCAGGCATTAGTTTCCCTTGAGCTATGATGATTTATGGATTCAGGAAGATAGTGTTTTCTCTGTGAACCAAAAGCTGTATATTTTTTTTCAGGAGTCAGAAGTTCTTCTGGGCCTTATCATATACATCAGGGATGGGGTTTGTCACTAACAGCTTTACAAAGGTGTTACTTCTCATCATCTACAATGCGTCCCACTGCTGTCACACACCTAACCTCTTCCCGTGATTACATGGTTCATAAACACCTCTTCAGAAGGCTGGATTTCCCAAATACATACACACAAAGTGTGGGTGGTACAGCCAGCTAAGCTGGTGTTTATGCAGAGGTAAGTCTCTGTTCTCAACCAGGTACAAGACTGGATGAAATGCTACAAGAATGGTAGCTTCCTTTCATACTCAGTTTTCAGAAATAAGGTAGAGCACAGCTGCTTTTGCCACTTGGCCCCGAGCAGGTCTCCACCGAGGCAGGAAAAGAGCAGTGGTGTCCTCAGAAGAGGTGACGGTGAAGGAGGGCTGTCGTTTTTATTACCCTGCAGTCCCAGCATCATGTGTTGCTTGTTGAACATCCTCGTCTTAAAGAAGAAATATCCCCTCTCTGCACATTTTGGTGATTGGCAAAAAAAATAAAAAATAAAAAAAGCAGCCCAGAGCTGTGTGAAAATGCCAAGTAAATAAATGAAGACCTCTTGCCACAAGCAAAACATTCATGACTCAGGGAGTTTAATTTAATTTAATTAATTTCCAAGTAACATAACCTTTTAATAACTGGTTTTGTTATTGAGGGGAAAAATAAGGGGCTGATTGATAAAACAAACACTGAGGGAAATGCCTTTCTTCTCCTTTCCCCATGCTGAGCTTCAGTCTAACACTTCTCCTCCACCTTTTCTGATATCCACTTTTCACTTATTTTCACTGCATGTTGCACTTGGTCCCTCCCCATCCCTTTGGGTGAGGTGACAGGTGACACAGGAGGTTGCGCTGGTGCATAGCAAGTCTTCCTCTGCTGATCCATGCCACCCAGTGCTCCTCATCCTGGTGTGGGTTCTTTGTGGGCTGCAATCCCTCTAGGGTCTCCCTCAGCAAAGGGATCCACCTTCCAGCTGTGTCTCTCCAGCCCTGTCCTCTGCTGCTTGCCTCCCATATGTAATTTCTCCAAATTTTGGAAGTCATACCAGTAAAGCATTATTGTCCCTGTACTGTCCAAATTTATTCTCTTCCTTACATATCAAGCTTTTTCTTCAAATGAAGTTATTTCTCTTTCCCTTGAGCCACTGCAGGCTGCCTACACCAGCCCATTTGTTTTTTCCACCTTACGGTAGTCCTCAAATGTCTTTTAGTGTTTCTTTTTCCATGTGGAAGCGCTAGTAAAACCAAAGTTCTCACTGGCAATTCCTGGCTGAACAGTTCATATTTTGACACACATCAAAACCTCTCTTTTTCAAGTATTCAAGGCCATGCATTTTAGCGGTGTGACTCTTAGATATCCTCTCTGAAGTTTACATTGGAAATTTGTGGAGTGTGTGCTCAATTGAAGGAGCACTTTTCTGTGATTGAAATGGAAAGGTGTGAGTGCTCTCTGGTAAGTCGAAACTGCTCAGCACATAGAGCAATACACTTGAGCCACTGTGATGCAAAAATAGCTCCTTTCTTCTGTTCCTCTTGAGGGATTCAAGACACAGGAGTTTGTTTGTATAGATTAATTAGTAACTGTGCAGCTTACTAGTGTTTTCAAACTGAGAATTAGCTATGAATGTCCAAACAAAAGTGACAAAGGATTGTAGCAGAAGTTTCTGAAAAATAGTCAATGTAATACAAAGAATGATTTTTTTGGTTATAGGTTCACTGACAGAACTGTGCTTCCTATCTACATGTAGATATGGATAAAGAGCAATTTTCTTGGCCATTTAATAATGCAGGGAAATATGGCAACAGGTCTGTCTATTCAGGTCAAAGTTCCTCAACTCTGTCATTGTGCTTGGATACAGGTACAAAAATGCTCCTCTTTGGTTGACTGAGAAGTCTTTTCAAACAAAAAGCACTCCAGTCTAAGACCTTCAATCCAGTGATACAGAAAAATACTTTTTTATTTCTTCAGATATTGTGGCTTTGAGAACTTCAGCTTTATCTCCATGTTCCCATATCTGTTTCAGTGCAGGTAGATTGGTCCTGTACAAATTATTGTTACAAAGCAGTTTGATATAAAGCAAATACTCTTTCCAACTGAAGCAAAATGTACATGCTAAAAGGACATACATGTGGCCCTGAACTATTTGCCATCCTTATGATGGTTCTGCTGGGACATGGAGGAGTGAGGAGGTTGACACAGGCTATCACTTTTACAGATGGGCCCTTCAGAAATTGCTCTCACATATTGGACAGCACAGCAGGCAAGGTCATCTTTGCTGCAGCATGTATCCAAAATCCCTCTCATTGTTGCTCATTGTTGGCCTGGTGGAAATGATCTGTGTCCACTTCCAGTGCAGTTAGCTATCCTCAGAGGGGTAAAAAGAGACAGAAAACAGTGGGCAGTCTGCCCATTCTATGCTTTGCATCTGAAGTCCTGGGCACAGGGCCCTTACATTGCAGATGCCCTGAAAAATCCCCAACAACTGCTGTCCAGATGTTACGGTGATCCTAGAATTGCTTACCCCTCTGCCCCACCATTATTCCACCCATAGAATACCCCATTCTCCTTAGGCTCCTCAACAGGACTGCTCACAGGCAGGTAATCCAGCCAGAGCTGGCTGTCTCCTCTGCTGGACTCCATCTCTAGTGCACACAGCCACACCATGGTTTCAAGCAAGTGCTCTACCCCTGAGTCTCTGAGTTTTTCACCTTCAGCTATGGAGAGCTGGGCATTCTCTTATCTAATCTCAAGCTTGAGAAAATTACCTCTGTTGAAACATGGCTTTTATGTTAGGTTGTTCTTTGATCTTGTTTTTGTACTACTTTGGGAAAGGCTGGGCCAGTTCTGTGTTGTTCTGTGTTACTTCAATGCAGTGCTGGTTGCTGTACCCTGATTTTTCTGGATAGGCCAGGAAAAAGTGGAAGGTCTTATAAAATTTAAATATGAAATCTTATTTGACTACCCCTCATGAGGATAAAATCACAGGGAAAACTTTCATTATTTGGAGCAGAAGCCCAGCCAGTGTCATTTGTCTGTGAAGGCACACTCCTGAATCCTTTTTCAGCTAAAAAACAAGTATAAAATAAGTAAAAGAAAACAAGCAAACCAAACCAAACCAAACACAAAAAACCCCCCAAAACCAAAAAACAACCCACGAAAAAAACAACCCAACACACAATAGAAAAAAACCACACAGATTTTCTCAACTGTATATTAACATCTGAGCTGTTTACTTACATGTGTAAGAGATAGGGACCTGACTGTGCTGCAAGTCATTGAACTTCATCTTAGGGATGAAATGAAAGTTGTTTTCATGAAAAATTTCTTTGACCCATCTACAGGCAAAGTCACTCCTGGTCTTTTTATCTTGTCTTTGCATCCTGCTGAGATAGCAATGCTGAAGCCAGAAGCTGCTGAAATGAAAGGTTTTGCTGCCTGTTTTGTCACAGTAAATGGGTTGTGGAAAGGAAACATTTGAGGGTGGTGACTCCAAGAAGTCATCTCAGCATTAGTTTCTGTTGCAGGAGTGCCAGACATCTCTTAAAAACAGCTCTCATAGCCCTTGGAGATGACATTCATGGAAGACAGATCCAACTTCAACTTCTATGTGCTTTTCTAGCAGTAAAAATACTTATTTTCTGGAAACTTTAGTTTAACTCTTTAGAATAAGTTTGCAGGGAGAAAATAACTAACAAACTTTTAATATACAACAAATTGATCTGGTTATAGCTATTTGTTGCTGGTTCCGCTCTTTCAGCTGCACCAGCCATGGGAATAAATCCAATCTGTTTTGAAAGAGGAACACACTCCTAATCCTTAGATGTACAGAAAACCTTTTTAAATTCAAAGTGTAGCTTGAGAATTATTGGAGAGCTCAGGTAGCAAAAATTAGCGCAGACCTGTGCAAGACGTCTCATTCCTTATACCTGAGGAATGCAAGTGATGCAACCTTCTTAGCATTAGAATTAACTAACACTGACAGCTGAAGCTAAAATAAAATTGTCACCTACCACCGAATATCTAAGATCTTTAAACATGATGTGTGCTGACTTCTTAAAAGTCATTTCTATCTGTTGAGCATTTTAAAGAATGGAGTTTCTTCATAAAGAGGTGGGGGGACATATCTATTTTTCCTCCCCAGTAGCTGCACTGTGACGTCATTTGCATGTTAGACAGCTTTGGAGCTACCACAAACTAATATTAACTCTCTTTATATTGGTGAAAATAATAAGATCATTCTGATTTATACCAGTAGGCTTTTATTTTGTCCATTTCTGACACGACTCAGTTTGTAGATGTGTGTAAGGACCTTAACTTTTAAGGATTTGCATGACACAAGCCATGAAGGCACCCCAGTTATTGCTGCCAGAAGGGAAGCTTCACCTGGGCAGCGAGCTGTACTCATACAAGCACTCCACTGCTGTATCCCAGCCATTGCCACACAAACTGCATTGTGCATGAAATACAATAGCAGAATATTATCCCATGCTAATAACGGCAACCAGCTGAAGTACTCTCTGCTGTGGGATGAGAGTGAGCTAAACCAGCTGTGTAGTTAAGGATATGAAACCAGGGGGAAATTGGTACAGATTGGTGAAACTCCCTCCAAAACCACTGACGATGTGAAATATGGATTTCCTAAAATATGAAAGGAATGACTTGTTCTCCCATCATTAGCGGCTGAAGGCAAATACTCGTGATATTGAATTAACAAAACTACTACCTTTATAATACCATGGCTGAAGGCTCTTCAGGGAAGACACTGACTCATATGACTGCTCTTGCTCATCCTTTTCAGCCTGAGCAGGAGAAGGACGTGCACAGAGGTATGACACATGCTGCTTTGAATCTCAAGCAACTGGGGGAGGTACCATTGTTTCAGATACTAACCTCAGTGTCAGGAACAAACTGATATGCTGGTCAATTCTAGGATTTTGAATGTGAATATTTACATTAGTAAAATAGGCAACCTTATTTTGCATTAATTTTCAATTTCTCTTCTTATTTACCCCTTTTCTAAAAAATGAAAGGTCAAAAGTAGAGATGAACAGGTAAATTGGAGGAGGAGAGGAATTGGAATTGATAGCTGAATCAAAAACTTGGAGGGGAAAATAATTGTCTTGCATCTTCTTTTTCTTTGGTTGGAGTTTTTTTTACTTTAAAGCGAAGGGGGGGAAAAAGCCCATCAGTTTGAATTCAAAGAAGGCCTTTTGTATGAAACATGCTCTGTGAAGTTTTGGGGTTATTGCACTACTTTGTGGATGCATTTTCACAATTTAAAAATGTTATGCACAGGTGAAAATACAAAAGGATCGTTATTTTTTTTATTGAGAAAGCAAAACCAAACTGGTTTAGTTCCTTCAAATCCTTCCCCTAACCTCTTTTGTTTTGACAAAAGCTGTTATTTAGATTTGCTCTGGATTTCTGGGTTGTTTTAGTAGAGATTTGTGTTTCTGGTCAATTTTATTATATGTCCATATCAATGCAACCAGTGTGCAGTAATAAAAAAGACAAAAATAAGGATCTATTTTCATAACTCTCAGAAGACTTTTCTAAAAACTTGTCTTCCTGCTTTCTAGTTAATTGAAATTTCCTTCCCTTGACTCACTACTTTCAAGGGCAAAACCAAAGGGCATCTTCTGGGCTCAGTTCCCATAGAGGAATGTGCATGTAGTTGCTGCCCACTGCCTGGGAATGTATTTTCTAAAGATCTCTCCTGGTTGTTTTCAAATATATTTGTTATTTTTTTTTATTTTGTTTAATCAACTGTTTTCTCATTGGTTTTATTTACACAGTGTAACATGCATACAAATAGCAGTATATAAACTATAACATGAAATTACCACATAGCCAAATTTCTGCTAATACATGCTTACTTTTTCTTCTCCACCCCCCAAAACATCCCAACATTAAAGCAAAATAAAAGAAAAATACAAACCAAAATCCTCGAAAAAACCCGACAAAGACTTATTAACATTTTGGAAAATAAAAATAGGCCTAGTAATGCTCATTAGAAAATTGAAGCTCTTCCTATTCTTTTCCAGCTGAAGGGGCAGACCTTGTCCTTTCCATGGTGGTATCTTACAGAGAGAAAGGTGAGTCCTCAGGCAACCAGATCAAATAGAGGACGTTGGTTAAAAGCTACTATTACTGCTTGGAAATGTGCTGAAATTGCAGTAACATGTCCTGTGATAAATTTACAAGCAGTTGTGCCATTGCTTCTCACTGTGTATCTACACAGACTCTTGAGGTGTGAAAATAGATAAATCCTGGGTAAAGAAATCAAAGTTTTTGCTGTCTGGTAATACATGGCTTAGAAAAAGGTGAGGCATGCAATAGTGTGTCTGTGTGTGGGAAATACTTATCTGCAGCTATATTTTAATTACTGACACACATAGATTTTTTTAAAAGAGCTTTTTCCTCAGGGCTTGTATGGAAGGCCCAATAATGGAGGTACATGCATACTTTCCCAACTGATCTTGGACTTAGGCATGCACTATGGACATACATCACAGAAATGTGAAGGATTATAAGGACAAGGGAAAGATCAGAACAGGATAATACAGCCTAGGATGTGTTTCATAATGCCGTGACATATTACAGACCCCTACAAGGTACAACCTTACTCACTGTGTAACACCTGCAGGACTCTGTTGTACCATGCCCTTCTTAGTAATTTGCTGACATTTGGCTACTGAAAAACAAGTGCATATCTTTTTATGTTTTTGTACAGCCATATTCTCTTAAATAAAACCTATTAACTTGAAAATGCTGGAGTTAGATTTTTATCTCTCCTTCATGCTTGATTCTGAAAAATGTTCCCTAGTCCTTTCAGATCTACTATAATTCAGACATCGTCTTTAAATTAACATAAAATATTCAGAGAGAAGGATTTAGGTGAAAATACAATGGATGTAACATCCTCCTCTATTCACCACACATTTTCCATTGATTCCTCCCAATTATGAGAAATGCACTCTTATGTACATTGCTTTCTGGGATTTTCAGTTTCTGCGTATCATTTTTGGGTTAAGTGCTCTTTTGGTAATCCACGTCTATCTGTATTTTTATCGTGAACCCAATATCAAATAAATGTAAGTCCTCAGCTAATAAACACCTTGACCCCTGCTTTCAACGGGAACTGAAAGAAGCACAAAACAAATAATACACTTCCTTTACTGTTTAATATATAAACTGTGTCATACTCCTCAAGGTTTTTCTTTGAACCTTCTCCTAAAATGAAAAGTAAATTTGTAATCAGAGCAGATGTCACAATTTTTACTTCTGTGTACATCTCTCCATAGTGCAATGAGATGCTGTCTATTTGCATATGAAAGCTCAAGTCATCAATTGGCCCAGGTGGTTGTACTTATTTGACTTAAGCCAACGTGGGTGTGAAACCTTGGAATGAAAATATACACGTTGCTTGTACTGCTGCACAAATAACATCCCTGAAGAGAACTGAAAGGAAGTGGTAAAGCTGAGCTAACCTAACATGCTCTGTTTAATAAGGGTCTGGGGCTTTGGAGCAATGACATCTCTGTATTGCAGGATCACTTTTATTCCCACTAGATCTTTAAAAACCAGAACAACATATGTGCCTGTGTGGCATTGCTATCAGCCTAGAAAATACTTTTGGATCTGACCTGGTTCTGTCTTGTCCTACCAGACACCCAGAGATGTGTTCCCAATTTGTTTCACCTGCTTTTAGCCAGTACACCCTAGGAGCCACCACATGGTGCTGGGGGGAGCCCAGTCACACCCACAAGCTGCTGGGCAGCCAGTCCTTAGCTGTGCCAAGACCATGGGTGAACACCATCCTCTTGCCCGTCCCTCAGCACCTCCAGAGGCAGAAGCTCCACACCCCTTTTGCTCCAAGCAAGCTCATACATTCACACTTTTCAGCACTAAGGCTTTGCTTTTTGCTCCAAGTAGCGGCTTGCATTTTAAGTGGAGGGGTCAGGGATGGTGGTTTTTCTGGGGGGGAGGGGATTGCTTTTTGGGGGGCAGTGTGGTTGTTGTTGTTTTATTGTTGTTGTCCTATTATTTTTTAACAATTGTAGAAAAAATACCAGCAAATATTTTCTTGGTGTTTCACTTTTTATGACAATATTTATAATACTTCCTGTTGCAAATTTGTGTTGAGGAGATTCTGCAAATGAATATTGCCTTAATGTAAATTTCTAACTTTTCCCTAGGAGAAAATAAAATTTTTCAAGATATTTTGCAGTCTTTTTCTTAATGTTTTTCTCTCATGAAACCAAATATAACCAGTCTTTATTTTTTGGATTGCCACTTTGCTGCTGTCCTCTTTGGAGAGAAAAAAAAATTGAAATAGACTGAGGTAGTACAGAGGAGAAATAAAATAGAAAAATGTCTCCCAGGCATAAGTTACACTTTTTAAAATTGGTACATTTGGGAATCTCCAAAAAGGAAATATTAAAGTATGTGATTTCCCATATCTCTGCTTCTGACAGACTCTGATGGTGTGTTTTCAATAGCATTTCAAATTTAACCTATAGAGTATCAGAAAAAGATAATTATCATTCTGAGGTTTTAAATTGCTTCCCAGAAAGATACAGAGATGAATTCCAGGCAGATCGTGTTTGTCTTTTTAGGGGTGAGTAGAGGACAGTGACTGGATTTTTCATCAGGTCTTGCCATTTTCAGCTGTTTTTGCCTGAAGATGTATTTCTAAAAACCTGAACTATAGCAGGGATGGTGGGAAGATGTCCCTCTTCATTGTGCTCTGGGTTAAATGCAGATTTTGACCCTGGATCACTGTGATTTAGGAAATTTAGAGACTCGAGCCTGGGTACCTCCTTTAGGCTTTCCTTTAAGAGTTTTGTATCATGATGACGGGTTGGATGTCAGCTGTTTTGGACGGTACCTTAAATTTTGGGATGAATTTTAAAGTATTCCCAACTCCAAATGGATTTATTTAAGTCTGTGTATTAAATAACTGCAGTAGGATTGTATTCACATAGATCTTATATGGACCTAGAGAAAGCAAGACGAGCAACGTTCACTTCTGTATTGTATTTATGTTTGTGTGTGTGTGTGTAAAATATGGGGTAGGAATACTGGCAATTCCCTGTGTTCACTCATAGATGGCACTAGAAATTCTTGTACTTACTTTCTTTGGAAAGTGAGTAAAATCATTTTTACTCTTCTACCAATAGGTGGAACTAGTAATGCCTTTGCTACTTACGATCTGACTCAAGGAGCAACGCTTTCCTCTTCCTTGCTCCATTTAATGAAAAAGCAAAATGCAAGAAAACAATCCTCTATCATCCCAATTTTCCCATCAATGCCTCTCAAAGAGTAACCCTATCTCCTAAAACAATGAATAGTTTTGAGTTTATTTCAATATACAGCCAGAGCAGGGTAGCAGAGGAAGAAGAAGAAATCAATGTCATTTAGAAGGCAGGTTGCTGGCATTCTTCCATTCCCAGACAAGCTGGAAAGCCAGATATTTTATTCTATCCCTCATTTCTATGAATCTGACTTTCCATTTGAAAGCAAACTTTGAACGTGGTGCAGCACAGTGACCATGCTGCCTGCCAGCTGCTCTCAGGTGTTCACTAGATGCTAATCAGTATTCTTGAGACAATGCTAAATGCATGAAAATTAGGGCAAACAGTCTAATTTCATCACATCTAAATTAGGTTATGCTCACCCCTAATAGCTAAACTTAGGTATTGGCCTCCTTAGTCTTCCAGCATTTTTACTTCCTATACGATGTAGATGTTGCTGATTTAATTGGAAATGATCAAGTATGCAGGGCTGATGGTCTCCTAGATTAATGTTACTGGAATGAAGCACTTCAGGAGCAGGTGAATGAGGCACTGTCCAAAATGAAAGGATGTACTGAGAGCCCCTGAAAGGGTGAATACATCTCTTATTAACGTACAGCAAGGATGCCAGGATGAATGGGGCTGTGTGTGTATCTCTTCGCCTTTTGATGGGCTGAATGAATTAGGCAGGCTCAAAGGTTTATCAGTTCCCTTTCCTGGCTGAGATTTTCCTTTGACAGAATAAGGGAAGAGACCCAAAAGTCATCAGCTGTATTTTTCTCACCTCATATTCCATGGTTGCCTTTCAATGATTATATGTTTGTCTGTGTGTTCATGAGGAAAATAACCAAAAAGACCCTGAAATCTGAACATGTGGGAAAATAATTCCTATTTGTAAGAACTAGCTGAACAACTCAGAAAGCAGCACATTCTCAGACACTCTGCAGCACTGAAAACAACCTCCTTTCCAGATATGTTCCTACCATGTAGCTTAGTGGTGATTAAACACTGAACACAGGAGTCCCATACACAGGACAATTTATAGATTGCCCACTGCTCTGTGCTACATGACCTCTTCTGTTTTTCAAGGGTTACAAATGGTAGACACGACAAGGCATTATCACTGTGCAGGTAGGACTTGTAGGGATCTCTCAAGTTACTCTCCAGTTAGGAAATTATTGCAAACCCCTAACCTGCTCACTTTCATCTGCCTTGGCAAGCTCTCCTGTAGGGCCATACCTCGAAGAAGTGCTTTTTTGCAATGGGAACATTTCACTCCATGCCGAAATAGTACAGACAAATCTTCTCCAGGAGTTAATTTTCAGTAGGGTCCCCAGCATACGGATCTTGGAGGAGAAGAAAGTGGGGGGGGAAAAAGCCAGTTTTCAATATAACTTTGTCATTAAAAAAATGTTTCAGTTTTATTTTTAAATAATCATCCTCTCTTTCCTCAGAATGAGTCGTCTTTACAGCTTTTTAAAATGCTACATTCTCTGTATTACCTTGACTTTTAACACCATCCCTGTACCCGATGCCTGAAATATTCATTTGTACAATTGTAGTAAAAAGAAGAAAATGAATGAAAATAAGAGTGAATAATATTGAGAAATAACTAGGATTTTGCTTGTTTTCAAGGTCAGTAAAG